GGCTCAAAGTTCAAGGACATTCTGGGATAGAAAGTAAGTTCTAGGTCAGCCTGGGAAACTTAGTGAGACCCTCTTTAAAAAAAAAAGAAAAGAAAGAAGGAAGAAAGAAAAAGATAGAGGAAAAAAGAGAGAAAGAAAGAACAGAGGTTATGGATCAGTGATAGAGCATTTGCCTTACATGGACAAGACCTTGAATTCAATCCCTAGCAACCTAAGCAAGGGAAAACAAAAAAAAAAAAAATCATGGGATGATATAAAAATTGTAGTGGAGTTGGGGGCAGGAGTCAAATCCCTTCACCTCCATGGCTTTAATTTCTTCCTCTGAGACATTATCTTCAACACGAAGATGACTTCTTCTGTACCTTTCTTGTGCTTCTGAGACAATCCCATATAAACCCCAGACTGTACTCAGTGCTGGATAGTTCTGGAGTTTGATCTTTAATTGTGAAGGTGATGAGAGACCTTCACTTTTTGCAGAGTAAGGAAATGCTGTTCTGCAAGCTGTGATTGTGTGGAAAGCCTCTGGCTCTTTGATATCTCCCAGTTTCCCTGGTGTCTGGAAATGCTCTGTGGGTTTTTGTTCTTCTTGGTATTCAGTCATGGTGTTTAATATGTGGGGGTAGACCAGATGTCTTTGGATTGCTTCTGGAACACTTTCTCACTGGGCTCAGGTCCTTTCTGGGTTATACAGAGAAAACTTGATTCAAGAACTTTGGTAGTTTTGTTTTATTCTTTAATTTATGCTTCCATTTCTCATATATCAAATACAGTATTATGGAGAATAGATCATAAAAATGACATTGACCTTGTTTTCTGTGCTTTCAGAACAATAGCTGATATTTGTTGACCCCTTAAATATGTCATGTCAAGTGTTTACACACAAAATCTCAATCAATTTAACACCAGCCTTCAGAGACAATACTTTTTCTATTCCTATTTTACAGTTAAGAAACTGAAAATCAGCAGGCTGAAAGCAATTTTCTATAGGTTACAACAAAATATTCTAAGTAGGGGAAATGAGATTTATAGTCATTGAAGATATTATCAGTCAAAAGTGATTTTGTTTTACTACAAGGTTCACCTTTGATACTATACTTTCTATATTCTATGCTTTAACTAATGTATAATGACACATATTCCCTAATTATAACTCTACTATCCCCAAACATCTCCTGTGTTGCCCCTACTCAATGTTCCCCACCCCAGGTCCTGACCCTGGACATCCCCAGATTTTTTAGTCTGTATAAATTTGCTTCAACCAAAATGTTTTACAACTGGAGCCACACTGAGTGGAGCCTTCTTTGATGGTTCTTTTACACAGATATACAAAGTGAAGTTTTCTCCACAGTTTTTCATGGCCAGATGACTCACTTCCTGTTAGCACTGAAAATAATGGTCACCTTGTGGCTGCTCCATAGTTTTATCTTTTCCAGAACTTTTGGTTGCTTCGAAGTATTGGTAGTTATTATTGCAGCTTCTGTAAGTTTTTGTATGGACAAAGTGTCTTAAAATATTTGTTATGGCAATACAGCTGTCAATCATCAAGGATTTGTTTTGGGACTGGGCTTGTGATTCCGATGGGCAGAAGCTGATAGGTAGACATTCTGGAAATAGAGACGAGAATAAGCAGGGATTCCTGAGCATTTGTGACAGGCAAACTGCTGGGTGGTTAACGTTATTTTCCTTAAACTACACTGTTAGCTCTTGGTGCCTTCCAGTTGCAGTATGAAGCCTTATAGTCATTTGTATAAAAGTTGAGAAATGGTTTGTATTTTTTCCAAATTCGCAAAGCCAAAAAAAGCTACAATTTGAATCAAATCTGAGGCCAACCAATCTGTTCTTTGTCTTGTCCTATCTAGTTCTTCATTCAAGGGGAAGGGGAGTAAAGAAAAAGAGTTGATTTAATCATAATATGCAAAAGGTCTATGTAAAGCTTAAGAACGAGGTTGCAGCCAGGCCAAGCATGATGCTGGCTTAGGAGCTGTGGGTGAATGTCTCTGAGCTGCGCAGGATGTCTCTGGGCAGTGTGGGAGCATCTCCGGATAATGTAGGGTGTCTCTGGGCAGTGTGGGAGCATCTCTGCATAATGTAGGGGTGTCTCTGGGCAGTGTGGGAGTATCTTTGGCCAGGGTAGGCATGACTATCTCTGGGCTGAGTATGAGGAGTGCAGAATAAGAGCAGAAAGTTCTGGGAGCAGGAAGGATCACCTTTTTGCATTTCATAAGACTACCTGAATTCACTAAATTGTTGTTTCTAAGAGACTTCTGAGGATATGCAAATTTCCACTCTGTGTGACCTTTGGGAGAAGGAACAGGATGTTCAGGGCTGCAGTAGATCAAACCAGTGGAGGAAGTCACGTGTGCTTTCCTGGCTGCCTCTTGGTATCTCAGTCCCAGAAGATGCCCTTTTGGTCATTGCTACCCCTACAACACACACACACACACACACACACACACACACACACACACTATAGAAGTGTTTTGCAAAGTCAGTCAAAATAATTGAACCATGTATCTAGTAAGTTCAAAGTTGACAAGACAATGTCACACACCAACCAAAAGGTTTCTGGAAGGCCTAGAAGTGTGGCTCAGTGGTAGGACTGGGGAAGCATTCTTCTAGAATGTGAAAGCTTCTGGGCTCAATGCCTAGCACCATAAAAAAAAAAAAAAGGAAGAAATAAGAGAAGAAATCAACTCTAAGGACTTTGAGATCAGAGAGATTGAAGTCAGTTTGTGAACTGGGAAACTTCCTGCTCTCTTCATTTGTAGGTAACTCGTTAACTCGGAGTTGCCACTTTAGTTTTGCTTTTGTGTTTTGAGACACAGTCTTACCGTGTAGTTCTGGTTACCTGGAACTCAATATAGAGACCAGGATAAGCTCCTTCTGCCTTTGCCCCCTGTGCTGGGATTAAAGGTGTGCACTATCACAATGGACTAGTTTTATTTTATTTGCTTGTTTGCTTATTTGCTGTTATTGTTGTTTGAGGGAGTTTAAAGATACATACCATGAAAAGCTGGTCCTGAAATGGATGCCCACGGTGTTGTGATTTTCTTTAAAGACGACAATCTGATGCCTCAGGAGCTTGTGATACTTAATCTTTGACTACTCATTACTTGCTTGTCTGATACCAAAAACCCAAGAACTGCACATTATGTTGAGCCCCGGGGCTCTGGATAGACTGCTTCTGACAATGGGTATTGGTACCAGCCAGCCCCAGAGCACAGGAGCATTTGTCTAGGGAATTATAGCAGTGAGGGTAACGGGTCTTTTGGAGGTCTTCTTCTAGAACACTTCCTAGAGCACAAAGGAGCAGCACGGCAAGGGGTGGCCAACAAGACTCCCATTTCTATCCAAGTGCTTCCCTCCACATGCTCAGCACATTGCATCACTGCTGTTCCTCAGCCCAGGGATTGCAGGGCTCGGGAAAGCCGCCCTTCCTCCCTACGCAGCCTGTTGATTTTAGTTCAGGAAGGCCCAGGATAATATTTAAAAGAGAAGTAGGGGATTCCTCCTGGTGTGTGGGAGTCCCCAGTGGAATCCTCTTGACTGAGGCTCGTAGTCTGCCAGGAGAGTGGGAAGTAGGGATTCCACTGCTCAGGGCATGAAAACAAGTTTCTCCCATGCCTTCTATGAGGACATTCTGCCAAAAATAACCTTGTGGCTGTTATTCCTGGCCAGAACAGTGGGCATTTTTTTCTTTCTATTTTCTTTGTTAGTAGGGAATACACCATATTGAAAAAAGGGTCCCTATTTTTCCTGACCTCAGGCTTCTAATCATTTTTTCCAGAGACAGCCTGGTTTCTTGGTGCCTTCTTTGGGAATTATTCAGTGTGCACTGGGATGTTTCTGCCCCATGTTCCTTCACTAATAGATCTTTAACCCTGCTCCAATTTAAGTTTCTTTGTCTTTATGGCTATCAAATCCTGTGTGTTTTTATCTCCAAGTGTCTTGTCCTTACTGTTTTACTTCTTACTCTCATGTGCCAGCTTGGCTCATGTTAGGTTTTTCAAGTTGTTGAAGAGAACGGAAAGATTCAAGGCTTTTGAATAGCTAATTGGCTGGTGGAATGGCTCAGTGGGTAAACGCACTGACGTCAACATGACAACCCGAGTTTGATCCCCTGAAACTAAGTTGGAAGGAGAGAATTGATTCTATAAAATTGTCCTCTGACATACACTCATGGGCCATGGCATGTACACACACACACACACACACACACACACACACACAACCACAAAATTACATAAAGCTAATTAATGAGAAGCTACATGTTTTAAAAAAAAGGTCCAGCAAAGTGGCTCAGTGGATTCTTGGTGGTTGCTACTGAGCCTAAGCACAGGAGATTGATATGATGAACTCACATGATAGAATGAGAGACTGACTCCTGAAAGTTGACTTCAGACCTCTACACACACGTACACATATACACACATTTGCATGCACACACAGTTGCACACACATATGCATGTACACACACTAAATAAATTAATAAATATATAAATAAAATAAGCTGGTTACATGCAAACATATTGCGCTTTTAAGGGTTAGAGAAGGTTGTTTAGCCCCTTGAAAATAGGATGTGTTTACTCTTGTGGAAGAGAAAGCAGACAAAAAACTTCCAGAACTTTCTCTTAATATGTTCTGGGAGTCTGTGCCCCTGGTGGAGTGATTCTCTGAGGGACTTTCTAATGAGTGCTGCTATTTAAATGGAGGATTGGGGCCCTGTAAACCCACATAGTATACCAAAAAAGAGTTTGGCAGGCAGATTTCAGATTCTCGCGTGATAGATCAGAATTTCCATTCCCTATCAGAAGAGATGCTGTAGCTGTAGAAAACCAAGAGCTGTGTAGCCAGTCTGGGTCAAATCCTCAAAAAAAAAAAAAAAAAAAAATTAAAAAGTTAAAAAAAGCTACTCTCTTTTGTCAAGTATTTTTCCTGTGGGCTGCTGTATCCATTTCACCTTTCTTTTTTTTTAATATTCATTTTTTCTTCTTCCTTAGGTGAAGTATCCTCCAATCCAAAGTCTCAGAGCACAAATTACCAGTAAGTATTACCAAAAGTTTAATCTATCTTCATGTAGTTTTTTTGTATATCTGTGTGGTACATGTATATCTGTGTTTATGAGTGCATGTGTGTGCATGTGCTTGTGGAGATGGAGGCTGGCACTGGGTGTCTTCCTTAATTACTCTTCAGCTTATATTTTGAGACCGCCTTACACTGAAACTAGAGCTCACTGATGGAGCCAAACAGACTGGCCAGCAAATTCCAGGGATCCATTGTCTCTGCCTCCTCAGGGCTGTGCTTGTAGTCATCGCTGGGTCACTGTGCCTGGCATTTCTCTTTTCCTTCTTTTCTTTTTGTCCTTCTTCTTCTTCTTCTTCTTCTTCTTCTTCTTCTTCTTCTTCTTCTTCTTCTTCTTCTTCTTCTTCTTCTTCTTCTTCTCCTCCTCCTCCTCCTCCTCCTCCTCCTCCTCCTCCTCCTCCTCNCTCCTCCTCCTCCTCCTCCTCCTCCTCCTCCTCCTCCTCCTCCTCCTCCTCCTCCTTCTTCTTCTTCTTCTTCTTCACCTCTCCCTTTCTTTTTGGCGCGATGAACTGTACTCAGATCACCTTGTGCAGCAGATAGCTTACTGACTGAGCCGTCTCCACAGTCTCATGCCCATGCTTTCCCTAGGCTCTTTTCTGTGGTATCTTAACTTTCCTAGAAGACAGGATCTGACATTTCCTTTAGGCAAGTGTTACATCCCCAAATTGTTGGAGTCTGAATATTTTTTTCAGGGGAAAAAGAAGGGATTAGTGACCAACGCAGTTCCTGTCTCTGTACTTAATGTGCCATTCTTACTCTTCCCAGAAAAGCTTTTTGGGTAGGAATTTTATTTTGTTTTCATCTAAGAATTCTAAGGCTATATGACTGAAAGACCCCTGACAGTTCTATTCTACTCTAATATCATAGTGAGAGCTATGTGTGTGTGGGGGGGGGGGAGCTATACAAAGAAAACACTGATATTTTGATCAAGAGAGTATCGTTTGGGTCCTTGATCTCTGCCAACCACTGGAAGTTTCTATATGAGTTGTCAAGTATTTATTGAGTTCTCCGAGATGAATGGGAAGTACATTTTGTCTTAATAAGTCATTCTTATTTTCGATTCAAAGTACAGCTCCCGGGTCTGGTACAAAGTAAGAATCATTGAGCTGGGGTCTACACTGGGGGCCTGTTGTTTCCTATCATCAAGGAGCATGAGCCAGAGTAGGTATATAAGATGTAGTTGGTTAGCCTTTCAAGATAATATTCAGGCTGATGCAGAACTACGAGAAACTTAGGCTTTGGAGCTTGTATAGTGCGAATTTTAATTGGTCTTCATAATAAAAACCTGGAGTCAGATATAGGGGTTAATACTGAAAGATCAGAGCAGCCAGACACTAGTTCTAACCTCTGCTGAAACTCAGACCAAAAGGACAAGCCTGTCCTCAAAACCTCAGATTGAATCTACTTTTTTTTATTTATGTTGATATCCCCCCTTTTCTTTTCAGAGTAGACTCAATAATCTATCTTTATCATATCTAGGCTTACTTCTGGAGAGGCCTGGCAAAAAGCTACCAAAGCTGTTGCTTGTCCTGTTCTCCCCCTTTCTCGTCCTTCTCCCTCTCTTCTTCCTCCTTTTCTTTCTCTGTGGCCGTGACTCTTTCCAAGCTACCTTCCAGGAAATGCTGGTTATAGGAGGTAGAGGGAAGAAGCAAGGAACATAGCTGTGTCCCCGGGCTCCCTGTTTCGTGGGACTGAGCCCACTTTGATCCCACAAGCACCTGTGCTTGGCTGTATTCCTAAGCTTATTTGACCGCTGGCAAAGACCACTAGACATGCTGTCAGTGAGTCGGATTACTGGTGCTATATAGAAAAATCTGTATTTCATGGTCGGATGGGAAGGCGTAGGAAATGGTTAAGTGTAGTTGCTTTGAGAGCTAATTAAGAGCTGGCAGGACCATGGCAATGAAGGCGCTGTTGTCCCTCTGCTAACCTTTGCTGTAGTCTATCCACTCAACTGGAAAGTAAACACCGAAGAGGCCAGCATTTCTTGTTTTTGAAAAATCAGGGAAAATCAAAACCTGTCTTTCCTGCTACATGTCTGAGGTGACAATGGCTGCAATCTCTCCACTTTGTGCACGGGTACAGCAAATTCCAGACATTGGTACACCACAGTGCTTCCTTGCTTTCTTTCCAAAATCTCCATCCCTGTTAGTTTTCTCTTCACCTGATCTAGCTGTACTGGAAGGTTCTTTTCTCATATTTTGCTTAGGAATAATCTTGTTTTCAATTCTTTTTAGGATGTGAGAATGGGAGACTATTCATCAGCCTACCCAGGAATGAGTATCAAACCATGGAGGTGAAGAACAACTCAATTGTCATCACCTGTGATGGGCTTTATCTCATCTACCTGAAGGGCTCTTTCTTCCAGGAGGTCAAGATCAACCTTCATTTCCGAAAGGGTCGAAGTTCCATCTCTATGCCCATGATGGACAATGGTCAAAGGGTTGACTTCACTTTGGTAGCCTCTTTGGGCTTCAAAGATATAGTTTACTTGACTATAAATGCTTCTGATACTTCCTGCGAAAACCTCCAGATAAATGATGGGGAATTGTTTCTTGTCCTGCTAACACCTGGTGGATTCTGTGCCCCTTGAAGATCTTATAGTAACACCATGAACCAGGTGCCACTGTGAATTCCACTCCACGGGTGGGCAGGACACAGATTTCTTCTTGAGAGAGATGAATCCATCCAGTTCAACTGTGGGAGTTGTGACCAAATGCAGATCCTACTCTACTTCCTCACTCAGGGATATTTAAAACCTGTCCTGCATGACAGTTGACCTCACAATCCCATGATTGCCTTGAGCCTACCAAGAGACCTTCTGGGAATGAGAAAATAAATGTCTCTTCAAGATGCATTGTTTCTGCTGGTCAGAAGATTATTGTAAAAAAAACTTTTGTCACTGAAAACTGCACTTGGCTACTATTTTCTAGACTTTCGGCATTGTCAAAAGAAAGAGCAAGGAATGGGGGAGGGGCTAAGATTCTGGAAAAGGGCCGTATCCACCAACCAGTAACAGGTGAAGTGTCCTCTCCAAGGCTAAAGTGATTAATGTTTACATGTTGCCTAAAGCCCTCTCTCATTTCATGGGAGCTCAGAAGGAAGAGCACCCTGTGGAAACCAGGACTGGAAGACAGCTGTTTAAGTGACACTCTGGGGCTCTTGCTATCGCATTTCTTTCTTGGCCTCCAAACACATATAATAGAAAACTCCCTTGGAAGAACTCTCCCGGGTCTATGATTCCACTCAAAAAAACTCATCAGTGATGGACTAGTTCACCTCTAAGGTTATTTTTATTATACAGAATAATAGTGAACTGGATGTCTCAGGATTTTCACAGTCTGAGGCCTGGTTTATAAGTTTTCTCTTTCAAAACGTCCATATAAATTTTTGATAAATTTTTACATTGTAGTATTTTCTGGCCATTTTCAATAGTAGATACAACACATCACAAAATCTCTCTAGATGATTCTGTAGCCCCCTAAGGATTACACTGTGTTACAACAAAGCAACTATCTCTTGAGCCTCCAGGAAGTTTGAAGTCTATTAATCTTTGTACTAAGTAAGCTAGCTCAGTTATATTTGTATTTTTTTGTCTGATAATTTTATATTTTCTCTTAAGCATCTATCTATAATTATATTCCCATTCTGTTTCAATCTGTTATGAAAAGAAGTTGAATAAAAATGCTACATAAAAGTGTTTGAGCATCAGATAACTATAGGTATTACTACTGGAAAGCCTGCTGTGGGCCACACATTGGGCTGAGTGTTTTACACGAGTTACTTGGGCTAAAATATTCTGTGATCTTCATCTTGGTGACTCAGGAGATTTGTGTGTGTGTGTATTCAGTTTTGGTTACTGACTATGTTTTGTAAAGTTGTTCTTACCTAATAAGTGACAATTGAAAACGCAATTGTTTATAACTATGGGTTAATATTTAAGAAAATGCATGTTTTGCTTTTTAAGTTTGGGATTTAAGTCTATTTTTATGGATGTGCAGTGCACAGGCCTAGTCTAAGCATCACTGTTCTGTTGGTTGTTGTCTTGAGTGCCATGGCCTCTGCTCTGGAACCTCCGTCCCCTGGAGCACACCTGGCCTGCTCCTTTTGTGCTGGCCTCTGTTAACCACTCTGGGATATTGTGAGCATGTGCCAGACTCAGTCACCTACCTGCCTCCATGTGTGGTCTGTGTCTCAGTTCTCTTATGAATTTCTCCAAAGGAACAATTAACCCTGTACTTTACACAAAGAAGACATTCATGGAATGGGAACTGAGTGAGAAAACAGGAGCCAGGAAATCTAAATTTGACTCAGTCGCAAAGCAAGTGACCATGGAGAAATGGCATTCTATTTCTGCATTCTGCTTTCCCTAGTAACCTGACCAAAAAAAAAAAAATGAAATGTTTAACAGTTTGGAACGTTATGTTCATAACATTAGCCTAGGATATCCCACATGCTAAATGTCTCTGTGCTGGGTAACTTTCTCTTTGACTGAATGGAAGCTGGGATTTTTTTGTGGGGGGTTGGTTTTTGTTCTTTGTTCTTTTGTCTGCTCTTTGAAAGCTACATAATCTCCCTTAGGCTTCTTGATAACTCCATCCCGAAAAGTTACCCACTGTTATCTAATGGCATTGTTTACCGGATAATATAAGGAGGAATCTTTTTTTCTTAATGAAGGTAAAAAATTCCTTTTATTTTTAAGATATTAACTGTAACTACACACTGTATTAAGTCAGTTTTGGAATGTCAATCATAATATGTTTTTAAGCTTATCAGGTGGTTTCCTGGTTTTAAGCCATAATTTTGTATTCAATGCTTTCCTGACTCTCAGAGAGTATAAATATTAATGTTAACAATATAGATAATAATACTGTTGGTGTTTACATGGATAGAATAAAAGACTTTAGAATCCACTGGTACTTAAAGTGTTGTTTTTTCTTTGTGTTTCTTTTCAACATATCCTGATTAGTTAATTCCTCATAAGCACGAGGAGGGGGCAAGCTTTCTGGCTTCCTTACCTGCCTCTGTCCAGGGGATGGCTGAGCTGGAAGTCAGGGCCCTTGCCCACAGTTCAAGGTTTCTGGCTATGCAGGGTCCTTTCAAGCATACAGGGGCATACAGGGCTTTTCATCTCATGTCTAGCCCTGGATAATCTGAGAATTAGGTCCCCTCTGCCTGGTAGCAATTACTTGCTGTCTCAAAAGGAGGTCACAAGTATGAGTGGCTTTTATAACATAGTATGGCCACAGGAATCTTGGTGCCACCTTGATATTTATGACTGTCTCTTTCCTAAGTGCTCTTTAGCCTTAGCTTCTTTGGACTCCCCTTCCCTTCCCCCTTTCTCTTTCTTTTTCTTCTTCCCTCTCTTCCCTGCTCTTCATTTCCCTCTCCTCCCTTCACTCCCCCTCCTCCCTTCCCCTTTCTTACTCTCTCCTTCCCTTCTCTTCATTTCTTTCTCCCCTATTCCCTTCCTCTCTCCCTTCTCCTTTCGAACTCTCTCCTTCCCTTCTCTTTATTTCCCTTTGCCTTTCCGTCTATCCTCCTTTCTCCTCCCCTTTCCTCATCTCCTCTTCCCTTCCCCCAGCCTGCCTTTTCTATGCTCTGCCTTTCTTGGTATTTACACTCTTTCTTGTCCACTGCTCTGGCACTGGTGTTGTCTGGGACTGCACAGTCTCCTCTCCCCTCTGTGACAAAGACCACCATTAGGAACTCAACAAGCCATGATCTGGTTCCAATATTTAAACACTGAGAACTTTCTCAATGCTTTGAACAATAAAGCAACAGTACAGTTTTGATTTTTGGCATCCTAGTAACCATCTCCAGCGAGGGGACAGTTTCTCTCTCCAGGAATGTTCTTCTTTCTCAGTTTCTCCAAGTTTTATCATTGTAATTATGTAATGATATTTTCATTATTAGTAAACAAACAAACTAACTAACAAACCCCCACATATTGAATACTCAACCTATTCTAGGCATTGTATTAGCCACCTGAAACCTGTTTAATTCTGTACTCCCAGTAACTCTTTTAGGTAGGCATTACTATGATTCCTGTTTTAAATACAAGAACTAGAGACCTCAGGTAAATTTGCCTAAAGTGCACAAATTCAAGACCAAAGATACTGACACCATAGGGCATGTTCCTAAGCTCTATATCTCTGGCCTTCATGAGCATCTCTATGTGGATGAAGTGGGCACTTCTCAAAGCACGTTCACTGTAGAAAGATCTGCCTTCCTAGCTAAGTTCATCCTCCTGGTCCATGGTGTTGACCAAAGGCATCATAATCATTCCTGAATCTACCATCTTCCCTCCTTCACCCTTTCTTCAAACCATTGATTATGGTTTCACTTATTCTCCCTATTAATCTTATTTTGTACTATTGCAGTAAGTGCTCACAAGGCCTACTTCAGAGGTCTAGTTTGATACCCATTATTCAATGAATGAGCAAAATGTGTAAACAAAACAAGGCAGAAAATGGAGAAAGCACAGTATTGAGAATACAGCTTTAAAGACTCTCATTTAATAGCTGAGTGATTTTGGCAAATTTTATTCTAACCACTCAGAATTTTATTTTCCTCTTCTATCAAATGAAGGTATTAATACATGTCTTAGTGGTGTGGGAAGTCCTTCTATATACATGTTGCTTTTATTGGCTAATGAATAAAGCTGTTTTGGCCAGTGGCTTAGCAGAATAGGGCAAGGCAGGAATTCCAAGCAGATAGAGGAGGAAATAGTAGGGGGAGTCAGGGAAAAGCCATGTAGCCATTGCAGGAGACAGACTTCAGACGTCAGATGGAACCTTACCAGTAGGCCATAACCATGTGGCAAAACACAGATGAACAGAAATAGGTTAGTTTAAGATATAAGAGCTGGCTAGCAATACACTTAAATGATTGACCAGGCAGTGATTTAATTAATACAGTTTCTGAGTGATTATTTCAGGTCTGGACTGCTGGAAAATGAATGAGCAGCCTCCACAAACATCCTAGTTAAGGTTTCATTGCTGTGAAGACATACCATAACTACAATAATTCTTATGAAGGGAAGCATTTAATTGGGGCTTAAGTCCATTGTCATGGCAGGAAGCATGGTGGCACACAGGCAGACATGGTGTTAGAATGGCAACAGAGGGTTCTACATCTAGGTAGGCAGGTGTAAGCACCCTCATTCACTTACATGGTCAAGGTCACCTGATATGGCCATAAATAATGAAGCCAGGCTTAGATTAGAGGGGGCACAGCAAGACTTGTAAGCAGAGACTGCTCATTCCTTTCCTGGTTACTCAGACCCAAATAATCACACAGAAACTATCTTAATTACAACAGTGTTTGGCCAGTATCTCAAGCATATTCCTAGCTAGCTCTTACATCTTAAATTAATCCATTTCTATCAATTTGTGTATTGCCACAAGGCTGTGCCCTACCAGTAAGGTTCTTAAGGTTCCAGGGTACCCTTCTTCTTTGATAGCTATGTGGTGTCTCCCCGACTCCACCTCCTCTCTCTTTTTCTATTTCTTCTGGCCTGGCTATATTCTGCCCTGTCATAGGCCAAAGCAGCTTTATTCATTAACCAATAAAAACAGTACATATACAGAAGGACATCCCACATCAAAGACTGAGGTTGTGACTATTTTACTGAGAGTAATCAGACCTTTTATTCCTTAATCAGAAACAAATTATAAAGACAATTGCCAGGAACAATAAAGTTGTAGTTGCCAGGACACAGTGAAGTTTGCAAACTTCATATTTGTTATGTGGTACAGGTTGTGTGATATTTTGTTTGTGTTCTGACAAAGAAAACTTTCCTGGAGATTAGAGGGTAACTAACTAGCCATTAGTTAACCTGGAAGTTGGACAGTGGTAGCACACACCTTTAATACCAGCACTTGGGAGCCTCACACCTTTAATCCCAGCACTCAGGAGGTAGGGAGTGGAAGTGATAAGGCGGGAGGAGATAGGATCTCAGGGCTTCTCAGACTATTTATTGTTGTAAAGAGACATCATGACTATGACAACTCTTATAAAGAAAAGCATTTAACTGAGGTGGCAGCTTATAGTTTCAGAGGTCCAGCCCATTATCATCATGACAGGGAGCATGGCAGTGTGCAGGCAGACATGATGCTGGAGGAATAGCTGAGAGTCTTACTTCTTGAAGGAAATAGGAAGTTGATTGAGACACTGGGAAGTATTCTGAGCATAGGAAACCTCAAAGTCCACCCTCATGGTGACATACTTCCTCCAACAAGACCATACCTCCTCCAACAAAACCATGCCTTCTAACAGTGCCATTCCTTAGGAGACTATGGGGACCAATTACATTCAGATTCCTATAACTGAAAAGATGTTGACCGTACCCTAGAATGCGATGCTGAAAGTTTTCCAGTAAAGGGAATTTACTGCAACTGGGGAAAAATTTAAGTTCTTGCCAATATTCTGTTTTTCATTTTGACTTAAATTTACTTCAAATATTT